AACAAGGCCACAACCGTGAGGATGGCACGGGACCCAACACCAGAAGCAGGTACGAGGAGCTCTAGGCTGATGAGGAGGAAGTCTCGGGGGGCAGCCGTGAGGCCCGCCACTTAAACAGATTCCAAGACGTGGCAGAGTATACTGATAGAATTTTATAGTTCTATAAAAGGACATGGGAAGAACCGAAGATTTGTACATAGAAAAGTAAATTTAAGAGAGGGAGGGAAAATTATTAACAAACCCAAGAAAAATGTAAAAGCCACACAGGAGTAACGTAGTACATCGCTTGGCTCGGCTGTGAACATAAATTATAAAAAATGCAAACATTAAGTAGTAATTGAATAAAATATAACTCTACTGAGTATGCATTTTACTCGGTAATAGGTAATAGCTAAAATTGTTTAATCAAAAAAAAAAGGATAAGCAAACAATTTGAACACATAGAAATAAGTGTCCGCGGAGCAGCTGGAAGAGCCGAAAGTTTCTGGGGAGGTTTTGGGAGTGAGTTAGGTAAAGAGTTGACCACCCATTGCCCGTAAAGCACTACGGGCCTATTCGACATTTGAAATTATGCACAAAATTACTTTACTAAAAATAAAAACTGGGAGGGAAAAAGCAAGCCCCCCACTTTCTTAAGCTGGCTCATCCCTTAGTGGCAGCAGGTCCCGCTCACAGATGACAGTGACCTCCGCAGCCCAGACCGAGGCTCAAGCTGAGGAAGATTTCTTTAATACTCAGCTCTAAGGAAAACTTTTTGTCCCCTTTGAAGGCTGAATGACAATAGAAAGCCTGTTCTTTCTCTTCCTGACAGGGTGAGTCATGACGCAATTAACTTTTAAAAATCAAAGAGTTAGTTAAAAGTAGTAAAACGAACTCATAACTTTTGCTCATATCAAGTTACTTACACCTTCTCATTTTTCATCCAATGGTTTATCTAATTACAGATACCAGAGTTAATTCTCCTTACGCTAAGTTCAATTATTTTAAACCAGAAAAATCTTGAAATTATAATAAGGTTTTCTCTGAATCTGGAAACCACCAAGCAGGGCCGCTGCAGAGACCCTGCACGCTGACCCCTGAGGTGGGGGCGGGGCTGAGACACCTCTCCAGGCTCAGGGGGATGCCCGGTCTCCTGCCAGCCCACCCAGAGGCTTTTAACCAATGGACCAATCAGAGGAGGCACCTTTCATCTAATTCACAAAAGAGGCAGTATATCTTAGCTGCACCTCCGATTCTGTTTTTCTTAAAAAGGCTCTATTTTAATCTTTTCATCAGTTTGCTCTAGACAGAACAGTAAGACCGTGAGCAGTGGTCAAATGACATGATCACACTGCACTGAGACTGGTGTCGCCATCGCGAGCGTCTGTTTCTTACCAGGAATGTGTTTCCACAGTGCCCACACACAACCCTTGTACCTTCTGGCTGGACTGGCAGTGCAGGTTGGGCAGGCTGCTCTTCAGAGACAGGCATTACTGGGCCGAGGTTAATTATGCGTCTACTGTGGAAAGAGAAAGGGCACCATTACCCCACCCCGGCCCGAGGGCAAGCTCGCAGCTTGCAGCACGCGGCCAAAGCCGTGGACCGCAGCCCTGAAAGCAGGTTATATTTATTTTGTAAATTAAGTGAATTAAATGTCCAGCTTTGCAGCCAACATCACAGAAAGTAGCAATAGTCAATATTTAAAATGCAAAAAATATGAGAGTTTTTCTACTTGGAACAGAAACCGCGTAGTACAATGTTGGCCCTAATGGATGGCCTTGGGAACCATTTACCTGCCATTTGCGAGTTCTTGCAAGTTCAATCAGAAAACAGTTCTTACCATTCTCTGTCTAAAAAGACAACTCGAGTTTGGTGGAAGACTACGTACGTTAAAATATTCGACATCGACAAACGTGTGGGTGCCATGAGGTTATCCAAGTGTAGGGACACGACCAGACTCCTCCAAGCAGGCTGGTCCTCACTGAAGTCTTCCAATCAGAGTTGGACAGAAAGGAAAAGGGGGAGCTCGTTTCCTTGTAAACGATTCACGTACAGGTCACAAAGCCAGGCGTCACAGAAGAAACACAGTCAGGGTCTTGAGAGTCTCCCATCTGGGCACAGCCCGGGGGCATCTGGCACGGGCAAAGAGCTCCGGAATTCACAGCGCCGATTACGCTCAGCAGCAAGCAGCGCGGCACGCGGTGAGGCACACGGTTAAAACACTTCCGAGTCAACACGAGGGATGGACATCAAAGGCAAACTAATTGCTTACTTTTAAATAACTTCAATGGTTCACTGATTTATTACATTGCAGCAAGTACTCACATAACACCAAGAATACTTCCATTGCTCATTCAAAGGTATTATATCTTACATACACCTGCGACAATTAATTTCAAACTAAGCACATCATTCCTTTAACAAAGAGAAACAATCTAGGTCCTATGATGACAGAGACTGTTCAGAACAAAGCCTGGCACATAATGAGCCTTTAATAAATACCCACTGAACGAACAAGTAATGAATGAATGAGTCTTTCTCTTACCAGTTGGGTCTCGGACATCCTATTCGTCGAGAGGTGTCCTTACAAATGAGGAGACAGTTACAAGGGCATCTGACATACTTCTTCCCTGCTGGGGGATTTTTGATCGGCTAGATAAGGGAGGAGAATGGAAACACAGCGAATTAAACGGAGTACAGACTGCCAGCGCTTGTTTGTGCATAAAAAAGAAATGATTCTTTAAAAACTAAAGCAGTTTAAGGAGAAGCACATCTATTTGCTTCTAAATAGCTCAAACGTTGGCAAAAGCACCCAGTGAAGCTTTGGAGGCTGCAGATATTTAATTACGAGGGGCATGTTTCAGGATAGGTCTGTATAGGCCCTTTGACATGGGAAGAATATCGCGTGCAGACTGAGGGTCGTTTTCCCTTTAAAGTTGACGAGGTCATCTCTCTGGGTGGCCAGGGACAAACATTCACCGAAGGCGCCCATCCGGGAAGGGCAGGCTCAGTAAGGACAGTGGGCAAAGGAGAGTATGTGGCAAATGTGAACTTTTCCTAAATTTTACTCACTGGACTATAAGAAACGATTAATTGTATGACATCATGTATGTACGTATGTACATATATATGTATGTATATATGTATTTTATGCCTACAGCACTCAGTCTTTCTAGGTGGTCTCCCATCCAAGCACTAACCAGGCCCGACTCTGCTTAGCTTCCGAGATCAGACAGGACCCAGCGTGTTCAGGGTGACGTGGCCATAGATTGTATGACATCTTTTAACTTAAAAAAAAGCATACTAGCTCTTAATGCCAGCATTTCTCTCTCTTTTTTAAATTTTATAATCAATTTAAAAACAAAAATAAATAACACCACAGAAAACGCTTCTTTGGATAGTGGGACTTGAGCTGTGAAAGCAAACAAGCTGACGGAGTGTGGCTCCCACGGCATGCCCGCCGGGCAGCTGTGACCTGAGTCTGATCACCCGGACCGCAGACGACCCCGCACTGAGGGGCCGTCTACAGAATATCCTGTCCGCACGCTTCAGAAGATGTCAAGGCGATAAAGGACAAGAGAGACCGAATTTCAGGGAAAGGGAGGCCAGAGAGACATGACGGCCAAGCGAACGTGTCATTCTAGATCGGCTCCCAGACCCGCCCTTTTCAGCGGAACAATACGACCCACATGAATGAGGTCCGAAGATTAGATAACAGCATTGTAGCAATGGTAATGGCCTGCATTTGATAGCCGTACTGTGATTGTAGAAGTGAATGCTTTGTTTTGTTTTGTTTTTAAGAAATCCACACTAAAATGTTCAGGGGTAGAAGAGCACCAGGTCTGCAATTACCTTAAAAGGCTCTGAAAAAACATAATTTATTTTCTTATTTAGAGAAAGCTGATGCAGCACAGAGTCAGCATCTGGGGGTGCGCATGGAGAGCCTCAGGAATTCTCCACTATGCATTATTATTTTTGTAAGTTTTCTGTATGTTTGCAATTGTTTTTTTAAAGATTTTTAAAAATTTAAGTAAATAATCTTGTTAGAAATATAAACAGATTAGCAATAAGCCACCTATAATTTATTAAACTGTATTTTAGAGAAAATCCAAGTATCTAAAATTCACGATGTATTGCTATAGTATATCTAAAGTATCAAGAAAACCAGAATTTGGCTCATGTTCTGTCTCCAAATTCTATCATTAAGTAAAACGTGTGCTTGGCAAATGACAAGATTTGTCTTTACAGCTCGTCCCCATTTTGCTTCTAGACCTTAGTTCATCTGTGAGACAAGCAGACTGAACGAGAAGGCTCAAGCCCTGGTCCTCAGGGCCTGCCCACGCCGTGTCATGTCCACTCTGCGGTGAAGTCGGGAGAAACGGCTCTGCCCTGACGCACGACGGTTAAGACTCTTATTTGGCAAAATAAACTTTTCTGCGGCAGGCACTGTGCTGGGCGCTTCACCTCCTTGTAATCGCAAGAGCTACCCTGTGGGGTAGGAGTTACTGTGCCACTTTACGTGAGGGAATCGCAGTTCGGAGAACTGCCCTGGATATACACCTACTACTGGCCGAGGCAGGATTCAGAGTCCAGCCTGTCGGCCTCCAGATCTCAGACTCGTAATTGGTCCTGCAGCCAACTAGCTCCTCTCTCTCCAGGACTTCTCAAATTTCTCACTAACCTGTCCTAGAAATCACTTCTCCTTTAATGTTAAATTCTGTAATCTCCGACTTGCTAAAATTTACCCATATGCTCTCTCTTTCTCTCTCTCTCTCTCTCTCTCGCTCACACACACACACACACACACGCGCGCGCACCTTACTTCCCTTTCCAATTCTATCTACTGAAATAAAAAGGACTGTTATTAGCCGTGTTTCGTTTGTTTGTTTGGTTGGTTGGTTATCTGGCCATCTTTAATCCCCACAGGAATGTCAGGCTCCCTCGGAGGTGGCTGCCCAGAAGATACACTTGACGCCCTGTTTTCAGTTGACATGAGGAGAATGAATCACAGTAAAACTGAGCAGGGGACATGAGGAAGCTGCTTTTTCCAACCTGGGTTCTCTCCAGAGAACCTCCTAGCTGCCTAACGCCTCCTCGATTCATAAGTCTGAGATCAAATTACATGGCGAACATTAGCAAGTCATGTTTTACAGTCCTCAAGTACTTTTTCACTTTTCCTCCTCCCCCGTAATGTTACTAATTCCACACAAAGCGATCTGATTAGCTCCTATTCATTTGCTCTGGAATATTCACAATAACTTACATCTCTTTATATAACAGGGGTAGTGATGATAGAAAACTGCAGCACAGTTTTCTTTATGTCCAGAACTAGTTTATTCGTAGTCGAATCCTATTTATCCTATATGAACGCATCACTTCTAAGTGGCCAGATGGAGGCTGATGGCTAAATCCACAGTGACTCTGAGATTCCTGCATAAATGACTAGTCTGCTGTCCTGCTGACTTCCAAGTGCGAGTAGAAAGCTTCAAACCTTTTTTCCTACTTATTAAAGAACAAAAGTCTCTATGGGCGGAGTGCTGCGTATGGCTTTGATATGATTTCAAATACACCTGTTTATGACTAAGACAAAAAGAGGTTGTTTTTAGAAGTAAAGTTGTTTCAACATGAGTGAATTAGCAGTGTCGGAATGTCCTCGTGTTGCTGTTGCTGTTCGTAAGGACCCCAGCTCAGCTGCTGAGGGGCGCAGTGGGGCTCATGGGAGAAGCCACCAGGCCAGGGGACGTCTGGGCTCTAGATGCCGGAGGCTGTGGGCGCTACGGAGAGTTTCGTCTGGTGGCGGTGGCGTTAACCCAGGCAGCAGTCTCGGGAAGCGAAGGGACACCCGTTCCTGCCGTGGCCCAGGGGTCTCTGGTCGGCAGTGGCTCTACACCACGTAGTGGTCCCTGGGGTGACAACCCTGGGAGCAGCCTCGCCTGCGCCCACACGGTGCCTTCGCCCCCTAGCACAGGGGACTCGTGTCAACCCTGGCAGCTGGAAGTCAGCTCTTGGTGCTTAAGGCTGGCTCTTCTGAGTGCTTCCTATAGAAAGGTCCACCGCAGCTAAATTTGACTTTCTTCCTTTCCTGTCCCCTGGAACAGCAGTGCCTGGAACGACCTGTCACTTGTTTGGACTACGCTATTTCAGTGCTGGCTTATTAGGAGATATTGTCTTGTATACTACTGCCTTGAGAAGTGATTTTCATTCCCACGGCAAATCTATGACAAATAAACTGCTCTCCCTAGATCAGTCCCCGAGTATAACTTTACTGCATCTCCCAAAACAAAAGCAAAACAGTGTAGGAAAAAGGATAAACAAAACAAAACAAAACAAAACAAAAACTAATAAATACCCTGAGGCGCTGGTATATTTTTTGATTACTATTTATGTCTAACACTCTTAAGAGCTTGCCAACTCAAAAAACAGTACTAAGATAGTTAATGCTGATTAAGTACACTAGTTCGTGTTCAAATAAAAAAAAAAAATAGCTGGTTTTACAGAAATCACCTATCTATTCAATAAAATGATTCTATAAATGATGTCTTTAATAGAAAAGTATTTACAATAAAATATATTGCTTCCCAACTTGAGGCTTTATTTTATGACTTTTCTGGAAACATATGAAGTCCAGCCCCCAGGCTTTATAGCTCCCAGAGACAAGATAATCGCCGGCTGGCTTTTCTTAGACTTTTCTAAAGAGGAAAACAATACAAATAACAAAAATCAAAGTAATACTTAATTGCAGATTTTGGGAGAAACTGACATTTCAAAAATAAAGCCTAACTATGAAAGTAGAAATATATTTCATCTAACCAGTATACACTTTACCAGTTTATTACTTGAAACTAAAAATTTTGCCTATTTAGTTGCTCTTTCTAAAGTTCAATAAAAAATAAGCGCCCTTCAAATTTTTTTAGTATTTCAGTAAATTATTATTAAATGGAATAAAATACCAAACTTCTTGTAAACAATATGGCACAGACGTCAATAATAAATGCATAATCACAAAAGCACAGGAAAACCATACTGACATCCTACAGACATAAAACAAGTTTAAATAATTTTCTACATAAGTACAAAGTCCACATTCATAGCGAACTTCAGTATATTTTAATTTTAGTGAAAATCAGAATGGATTTCGTTGTGATGTGGATAGACGCTGAAGATAATTATAAATAATTAGCTATAGTCGGTCTCATTTTAGACAGCAAAGAGCCAAAATGTGTTATATTTAAATTCGCCATGAAATTTTTCATGATGAAGTTAGCATCCTGGATGCTAAGAGAGAAACAGACAGCCAGAGAGAAAAAAGAAAGATGAAAATCATACATCTCGGTCTCCAACCCACCTCCACTTCGGAGGCGCACTGCTGGAGCCCCGCCTTTGGAGAGATGCCAGATAGCAACCGACGCTGTTATTAACGGGAAACTGCACTCACCGTCGCTTCGTTGCAGACCGTGCACTTGACCACGTGCTGGTGCAGCTTGCCATCCAGGCCGATGAGAGACTGGCACACTCGGCAGTTGACTGCTGGGACGCCACTGGCATCCGGGCTGGCGATGGCTGTGTACGGCGGCGGGAGTTCCGCTGGAAAGACAGTCGCAGCCGAATCAGTGTCACGGGCACGACGTGTGATACATGCGAAGTGAGAAACTAGCAGACATTTTCCCGTTCTTCGAGCTGTTTTTAAAGCTAAGCAACTTATCCAGTTTCTGAGCAGAAGCGCACATGGGCTATCTTGAGAAATACAATAATTCCTAACTCTGATGAAATCCAAATCGTGTTTGCCAAGGCCCGCAATTCTGTTCCCATATCAGAACAGCCACTCCATTCCTATGTGTAGAGTCACAGAGCTTGTAACAGGAAGGTGGTGATTTATGCCCAAAGTAAAAATCCAACACCAATCGTCTACTAAGAAACAGAATAGTTAATGAAAGAAAGACTTTACGCAGCTCACACGCACACACACAAACGGGGCAGCCTTCGCGCTCTGTTTATGCGAGAAGCAGGATAAGAACTGCTGGCTACAACGAGAACAAGACAGGGTTTTGTCAGTCAAGGGGAGATAAAAATGACCCTAGGAAAACTAAACTTGTCAGCATGGAACAAAGCTAATCAGAATGGAATCACGCTAATTTCAGACACAAAACAAAAATAAATTTAACAATTTTCAGACTCAAATTTTTTACTTAACATTAAAAATCTAAGAATTTCACAAAGTACAGGTTAAAAACTATGATGTCTGGGATCTAGTTTAAATACTCCGAGAAAAAAATGAGGAAACAGATGAAATAAGAGTAGCTTAACACATGATCGAAGCCCTGTGAGAGAGAACTGAAATTTCAAGGGGCTTCTGTGACACTGCAAAATACAATCATAATACAATAGCTAATCATGAACAGAGCTATTCTTGAAATAGAGATTTTTCCACCCCCTGGATTAGCTCCTGAACTCTGTGATATTTTTAAATGAGTTAGAGCATAACACAATATGGCATGTTTAAAATCCACACAGTACCACCTGGCAACGTTGTGATTTATCATGTAGATTTTTTCAGTCTTGCAAAGGATTAGCAACAAGTGTTATTCAAATGATCCATAATCAGCTTCGTTTCTGCAGCAGCCAAGGCTCTGAGAGAGGCCACTCTGAAATGACCACACACACACACTTCTGGGAGGCTCACACCAGAGCACTGCCCAACACTGAGCCTGAAAAGAAGCTACAGATGTCTTGAATTGTAAGAAGAGCCTTAAATTCTTGAAAGAATTTGAAGTTGATCCAGAGTGACCTGGAACGTATTAATCAAGATAAAAGCAGGTAAAAGGAACAATGAGTCGACAACAGATCTGAGCCTCTGCAAGTTGCAGATAAATTTATCAGGTCTCAATAAAGAAGGTATCGTCACATTTGAAAACGAAGACGCACCGTCCGGTGTGTGATGCTACCCTTTCTTATAACGATGAGCAATAGCATTGTCAACGGAAGCGAGTTTCCTCTCTTGTTCTTGAGCTACGAAGTGACGTGAAGTTCTTTTCCTATGATCCCAGATCTCTATCTTACGCAGTGGGACAGAACAAAAACTTAGAATTTCACAGAGAAAGCAGGTGCGCGGGCGGCGAGGGAGGCTGCACGTCGCCACTGCGTGGAAGGCTGAGGAAACCCGGGCCAGCTTTGCTCGGAAGAGAACTGTGGTGGCAGATCTTGAGGCACGTGCAGTGCACCAGAGCCATCAAAACCCTGTGCATTTTTCCTCTAAGATTTGCACGACGTAATTTTCAATCTGTCTATAAAGGAAAGGCTTCGATAACAGAAATAGGCCCAAATCTACTCCTGGGAAGTGGAGGGGGGAAGACACCCAGTGAGGGTTGTAAATCTAAGTGTGGAGATCACACACTCCACGCAGCCAGGTCACGCCTGGCTTGTTCAGGCTGATTCGCCAACTCTTCCCATAGTGTCTGGTCTGTGACAGATGCTCACTAAATATTTATTGACTGGAAGGATGAATGAATGAATGAACAAGCGAATGAGTGAGCCACTGAAATTGATCACACACGTACTTGTCCTGGGGAAGTAACAGTATAGACTGCTGCCGCTCTCCTTACAGGGAAGCCAGGGTCTTGGCCGGAGAGTGCAGCGTGACAAGGGTCACTTCCCCGCAGCACACCCTCCAGTGGTGCACGGAGAGCAGAGAGGCAGTCAGAAGCCTGCCGGGGGATCAGTTCAGAGAGCCGCACAGGGACAGACGCTGCCCTGTGTGGCTCCGCAGCGCTTCCCGACCTCGCTTTCCAGTCTTCTGTCCCTGACTTCGGCACTAAACTGATGCACGTATTTACTGTGCTTTTGCCCAAGGAAATGTTCACTTGTAACTCTGTCTCCTCATAATTCTAGGAATTTATTCCTCAGAGAGTAAACCTGCAATAATTAGAAACTTGGATTGTTCGCGTTATATCTTTTCACGTTAAAACAGCAGCTCACCACTATTCCACCTATTTTAAATCTCTGTTCTGCATAAAAAGTCCACTGTAATCTCAAAACTAGGGGTCCTTAGATATTAAAAATCACAAAAATTATTCATTTGAACATCTTCTTATCTGAGGGGTCCCCAACCCCTGGGCCCTGGGCTGGCAACAGTCAGTGGCCCATCAGGAACCAGGCTGCACAGTAGGAGGGGAGCGGGGGGCGGACAGTAAGCTTCATCGGTATCTGCAGCCGCTCCCCAGCACCAGCATCACCGCCTCAGCTCTGCCTCAGATCCTCAGGCACCAGATGCTCACAGGAGCACCGGTCCCTGGTGCCACAAAGGTTGGGGACCACTGGTTAAAAAAGTAGTAATTTTCTTTATGGGGTCTGCCTAAGTGGAAAATAGTTTTCCTTCAAGTGAGCAGTATTGGTTAGACCAGTAGTCCTCAATATTAGAAAACTCCCTCAATTTTTCGGAATTGCACAATGTTCGGAAATTTAAGCAATCTTAGGAATAAGGTAGTCTAATTTCTTTATCTTATGGAAGAGAAAAACTGAAGCCCAGCACTCAAAGCCAAGGACAAGGCAGGCACGTTTACTGTAACAGAGAAGAGTTGCTATGAGCAAACTGACCCACCAGGACCTTGGACAGAGCTGACTGAACCGGGCGTGAAGAAAGGCTTCGGTAAATGAGTAGAATAGGAATATTTCAGTTTCCAAAATCCCGTTTCTACTTATCTACCCATAGGAAGTAAAAAGTAAATCTCATCTCGAAAAGACTAGAAGTATCTAATAAATAATACTGATATGAGGCAATGACTCTTGCCTTAGGGGGAAAATATACATATATATGCTTTTTCTTAAAGAGTACATACAGTGATACATTTCCCACATCAAACCAGGACTCTTCCTATTAAGGTCCTGACAGGTTAGAGGAATGGACCAAATCAAACACAATGAAACGCATGGGGCAAAGCTCTCCACAGAGATGCGGGCACAGGGTCTAAAATGCAGCCTTTGGTAAAGGGGACGAGTCAAGGACGAACCCTACAAAGACCAATAACATAACGTGGCTCAAGCACTAATGTATCTTTCCAATACATTAAATTTTTATTAGTAACATACTTGTTAACAAGTGTCATTCAGAACTGCTACCCTAACTTCTGTGTCCATCCACCATGCCCAGCCCGAGACTGGTTTACATGATTTTATGGACCTTTCCAGTGTTTCCTTAGCATAGTATGGGCAGTACGCACAATACATATTCCCTTTCCTCCATCTTTCATTCAAAAGAGGGACTATGCCTGACACATTGCTCTTCATTTCACAGTCTTTCCATAATGATATATAGTTTCCTCAAGACAGCACCACAGAAGAGACACTATATTTATTTGAGACTAGGTCATAAAAAAGACTCTCCGGCTTCCACTTAGGTCACCTTATACTCAGGCACGTCTGATAGTTATAATAATCACATTCTCATTAGGGGCTAGTATTAAATATAAATACTACTTTCGTGGTGTATGGCAAAATATTCTACACAGAGAACCAGGACAGGGTCCTTGAATTCTATAAAGTTGGAAAACGGTTTTCCTATAAATTTTTAAATAATTTTATATTAATTGGTGGAATCCATATGGCTCCGTAGAAATCAATGTTTATTTGGGAAACAAATAAACACCCTATAGTCTAAGTTAATAACAAGTCAGATATCCGCGGATGTTGTCTCACTTTAAATCTACTATCATCTCTCTATATTGCTTTTCCTCTGGATGGTTTATCTAGTCACTTAAATCTCTGAGACTATACAATTTTATGTTGTAACATACCTTCCCCAAAATTATCCTGCTGTAGAAATCACATGTTCAAATGTTGAACAATTAGGGGCTTTCTTGAACGCTTTTTTAAAAGCCATATTATGAATATACCAAGTGTACGTATCTCAACTTGACAAAGAATGAGAGGAAGAAGATTTTGCCATTGTCTTTAGAATTACATGCTTTGAACAGAATGCCCTGACCAGTTATGTGGCACGTACAAATCCATTCTATGGAAGGATAAAATATTGCAAGGTAATTGGGCTTTTGATGCCTAAAAGAGCCACATAATATTCCTTAGTGTGCAACATACTATCCAATTTTCAAAAGGGTACTGGAAGGAATGGGATTTAAATGAATAAGGGACACTAAAAGTACAAGAGAGAGGTAAGAACAGATGACAAGCACCTATATCTTAAAGTCATAGATACATTCTCCTCGGTGTATCCAGATTCCTCACCAAGAAAACTGTGTCATAGGGTACAAAAGCAAAATGACATGCCGCTCCTCCTCTGGGGAAAAACTGAGTCCCAGAGATGTGAAGTAACTGCTCTAAGGTCAACAGCTTGCAAGTCACAGAAAGAACTGTCCCCAGGCCAGACCACACCTGGTGGCAGGTGGCTCTGAGACCAGATAAGGGGATTTAGTTGTCCAGCCTTGAGAAACTCACCTGAAGGCCAGAGAAAGGGGCCCTGCTTTCAATTTCCTTTTCATTCATATATATATTACTCTTACAGAGAAAAAGAAATTCACTTGACAACAGCAACCAGGGAAAGAAAAAAAATCTAGAAAAGTACCAAAGGAACATGAACTCTGATGCGACCCCCTCCCTCCGCCCCGGAAAAAAAGAGCAGTCCTCAAAAGAACAGAAGACAGCAAGAGGAACGCATTCCCTTAGGAGCTTGGCAAGCCCGGTCACTTGTGGGCTGTGCTCTCTCCCCACCCTAGTGAAAGTGAGGCGCGAAACAGCTGAGCACGAAGACTGCCCGCTTCGCCCCAGAGCGGAGGGTGGGTCCCCTCCCAGATGGCTGCTTAT